GTCCTCGGCGGCGGCGGCCATCGTAGCGGCCGCGGCCGCGGTGGCTGCGGCGGCGGCGGCCGGCAGTTGAGATTCGAGCGCGCGCGACACCGATTTGGCCAGGTACTCGACCAGCCGCCGGCCGACCACCGAGTCCAGTCCGGGCAGCGACAACAGGAAACTGCACGCTTCGCTGGCACAGTGGCTGAATCCTTCCTGCGGACAGTGGAAAACGAGCATTAACACAAATCGATAAAAATTACACTATTGACATATGTATTATTTTTATCGCGGTGGTAATCGTTGCGGTTACGTTGTGTGGTAACTGGTAAGACGTGTATTACGGAATCGTCGAGTGATCGACAATATTATTATAGTGAAGGATATCGACGTATTATTATTATACCTATTATGATTTTGATAAATAATACAAACAATTGCGAGTTGTGAATAATTTTTTTTTTTGGCTCGATAACATAAATAACGTTAGAAAAGCGCTGTATTTTTGATTTCGATGACCGTGAAAATTATTATTGTATCTGTATTTGTACACCGATTTGATAATAAAGTCATCAATGTCTGATACGTTATAATATTTAAATTAACTACGGGTTAAAAATCCCAATATTATGTGCACGTGTTTTCAATTATCGGAGTCAGAGCCCCCACGTGTTTGTATGCAATACTATATAAACTGTGTCTAACACGAAAAACGACCAAAAAAATACTCCCTTAGCGAATATTAGAGTAACAATGGGTGATACGTGCGCGTAGCACTACACGATGGTAATATTTTTAAATCGTGTGGAATGCCACTTGCTGCATTAGCGATAACACTCCCACACAATAGTGATATTGTATTGCGTGTACCGTATAATATGCATAATATGTAATATTTATTTCGTTTTAAATGCATATACCTTTAAACTATTCTCACGCCAACTTCCGACGATTATCGCCCCCCATGCATGTTTCCCTCCCCTCAACACCGAGCAAATCATTCGCCGGAGTGACCGTAAACAATAGCCCTAGTCGTTCAGAACTGTGTTTGGGGGAAGGGAGAATTTTTCAGACATGTTATTAGTGATAAATAATTGATTAGTAGATAAACATGAACGTGACCTTGACCTAATGAAATATGACATTTATTGTTATCAACGCTACGTTATGCGGATGTCTCTGAATGCGTTCCGGACATTCAAAAATATGTTAGAAATATTTAATTCAATTCTTGTAAGCCAAATAATGAATATAAGTAATATTATGTCATACAAATTATATAATTTTCTTTTTTGTGAGTGTCAACTTTTTTCAAATTCGTCGCATTATAATTATTATAAGACTACCTATATGATATAATATGCTATATACCTATTATCTACATAATATTACACATATATTTTAATATGACAAACTATTTTCTACGACATTTTTAGATAAACTCCTAGATGCTAACCAAATTCACTTTTCTTATTATTAGAATATTGGAATAAAACAATAATTTGTCTGTGTTTTAAATTTCAATCGTAAAAAAAAAAAAATTAAGGTTAAATATTTTTAAATTTAAACAATAAGTACCTATAGCATCATTTTTTATATTGAGTGAAAGTATATTTAATGTAGTATAATAATATGCTGGAAAAATATTATTACATTTACACTCTAGTGATTTTTTTTATTTCATCACATTAGATGTCCACTGATTTGAATTACTTATTTGAAAATTAAATTAATATATTTTAAATTTCATTTAACCTCTTCTACATTAACCCAGCAGATAATAAAATTGTATAATACTACGATTATTACCATGTAATCGAAAAATAAAAATTAACATGTTTAATGACAAATGAAAGTGTCTTTTATGTAATTTGTACAATACTTAATGTTATCAAACGATAATGAACAGTAATAATAGTCTTGGAACATTAAATACATAATCATTTTAAACTCACTTGAAATTTATAAGCTTCTTCTACGGGATCTCTCCTAGTGATCTTTTGTAGATGTTTAACGGTAAATTCCAAAATATCTGCCTTTTCGAGTTTATCAACATTTTCACCTTCAGCCTAAAAATTAAACCAAAATTTCATTCAATATTTTTTTAATAAAAGTAATTATTATAAAATTCTTTTCACCTCTAAGGCAGAAAACATTAGATCCTTCAACTCGTCCAAGCATCGATTTATGCGAGCACGTCGTTTTCGTTCCAATAACGGTTTTGTTATCTGTTAATAAATACGATATTATTAAATAATTATTATTGTGGTGATAATTTGAAAACAAAAATCCATTACTATAATAAAATCTAATTAGTATAAATATATACGTACAAAAAAAATTCAAAATAATAAAACACATAATATTTCCTCAAGCATTATAGTCGATTAGCTAAGTAATTTAGTCGGCATAATTAAATATCTGCTACAAAATATTCTATGAAACACGTGGCTATTTATCATTTATTATTACGAAACTACAATGCACACAGTGTACACGATTTTAAAATTCACACTAATCGCATTGATCAATTACCTCAATGTCACAAAAAGTAGTCTAATCTAAAAAATTAACCAAACACAAACTCAAATATAGTATACTATATTATATAAATGTAATTATAATATACAAAACCTTTTATTTACACTTCTCTCCCGGTCCACATTCTAAACCACAAATACCTACGTAAAACTAAAAGAAAAATTATGAAATCATTATTTGTTTTAGCATAACATTTGTTAATTCGTAGAATTTACTAGAAAATTTTTTTTATTTATAAATAAATATTAAAAAGCGAAGGGTAAAATAAACTTTTAATTCTATGCGTTGGATTTGTGTGGCTGCGTAATTTTCGTTGAATGTGATATGAAAATAACAGAATCTAACGTACAAAGAATAATAAAAAAATGCTTAGACACGATCTGGAAAATCACTTTGTTCAAAAAATTCGATCAATAGTTTTATAATTTATTCGTGTGTAAATAATATTTTATTTTATTATTTGCCGCGATATGGTTGTAAATAAACATGTGCGTCATATTACGCACATAAGCGTTATATATTTCTTATGATATTCTTATAACAATAAACGATAACACTATTAAACAACTTTATATTCAATTATGGATATATGATGGTCATAGAGATGAGTGTTTGTTGTCGGGAAGATTAGTGAGTGGGAAATTAATTTAAGACCCATTAACGATAAAATCTGTATTCTAAATTTTTAATATCCATATAGTTATACTTATATGCAAATATAATGATATGAAATTTATAGCATAATCCAGGCATTCATACTTCATTAGTTCATTACCTAATTCGCTCAATATGACTTGAACATTTTATAAAAATTCTAAAATGTTCTACTCTGCTCGTAATATAATAATATTTAATACAAATCGAGGAATCATATTGTAATAATTCCTACATAACACGAAGTGTACAACCATATAACCAAGCAAATATATGTTGATGGTTACAAAAAAAAAAAAAAAAAAGAAACGATAACTTACCTTTCTGTACGTAACGGTCCGAGAAATCGGCGACGGAGTAGGCGAAAACATGACGTACAGTCGATGAGTTGGTTAAAAAAAATAAAAAACAAACCCGACGGCCGTATAAACGGACGAAAATAAAACAACAACAATATTACTATATTTTACTGTCGCGAAAACACGTGAATGAAAAAACCATTCGAAACGAAGATTTTTACGAATAATAATAATAATAATAATAATATCAATAATCGAGCGAACGCGCGCGCGCGAAATGCTCACTGGATGACGGTGGATATCGGACTGAACCGACGGCGTGCCTGTTGCCCGTCTCACTCCGCCGCCGACGCCGCCGCCGACGCGCTTCTTCCTCTTCCGCCGTCGCCACCGCCGTTACACCCCTTCTAAAAATACGCACACCCCTCCGCCGCCGGGGGATGATCGGCTCACGCGCCGCCGCCGCCGACACACGATCTCGGGTCGCGTACCCTTCGCGTGCGTAACCCCCTCGGGAGAGCTCTCGTTCGGTTCCCACGGATGCCGTTCACACACAAACACACACACCCTCTCACCCCCCTCATCCGCCAGCGAACGCGCGCGCGTAATTACATTATTCCGTTCGTCCGCACGTATTACATACCTGGGTATAGGTAGGTGTCGTATGTGTCTGGTTTTAGGTGGCGCGCGCGTCCCCTACAGCTTCCTGCCCCCCGCGACGCCGAGTCCCGATACCGACGGGGACACTGTTCGGGCCACGCGCTCTGTGCCCCGGAAATTCGGAAACGCCGTCAAACGTCGACCTCATATAAATGTATCATATGTATTATTGTAACGCACAGACGACGCGTCGTCGAATTTTTACTGTTACTATATTGTCGTTTATATTATAATAATATAATAATAATATATACCTGACGGAAATGGTTCACATATTCCGTTCTGTCGTTATATTATATTGTATCTAATATTCGCGTAATGCAATTTATCTACATAATATTATTATTAATTAATAATTATAATTAATTATACTATATTGTTACGTTAGAGCACTGCGCAGGAACCGGAAAGAGCGACAGAATCGCATGTTAATCATGTTATATTAGTATAAGTAGATACTATTGGTATTAAACTGCGTTAGATTTTAGTGAACCCAATTTTCTAATGACCGTATTAATATTAAAATTATTTTCATATCTATGTAGATAACTTACATAACTATTTACTTATTTAGTCTTCGAAATTATGGATAAAAACAAATCAATGTACGTCCACATATTATTTTTCTGACACTATGAAACGAATAAAAAAGCCAAAATTTACAGTTGTTTACGTAAAAATCGAGATTTTTTCAAAATTTTCAAATTAAAAGAATTGTTTAATGTTTTTTTTTTTTTTTTAATTGCCAATTTATTATTTAAAAGAAATTTATACAATACCTACATTATTTAAATATAGTATAAACCATAGCTGTCAATACTTCGTGTGCAATCGTATTCTATAATTTATTATTTGCAAAATATAACAGTTTGTTACTTTAAAATTGCTTAGTAGTATTTCATACAATTATAATAATATAAAATTATGAATAAATATTTAAGAATTTTTAAACTTTAGAATATGAGTAATCAGTTTTTGATTAATTTTAAACATAGTTCTCTATAAAATTAAAATAAAAACGTAAATTAATATAATATGGTGACTGTTAGACATCTTTACATACGTACGTGACTACTAACTAGTGATAAAAATAAAGCATTTTTAAAAATCAATAATAATGTAAAGTAAAAAAAAGTCTATAGTTCAATTTTTAAATTTTTAAAATTATAAAAAAAAATTTAAAACTATGTTTGGTCCCTGTTGACGTGAATACGTGGAAAATCCCTAAATTTTAATCATCTGTTGTTAATTATTAATACCTTCATAACTTAATTCGTTGCTTTGTAGAGTTGGTGAACAAAAACTAACTTTTCGAAAATTGACGGTCGTACCTAAAAACAGTAAAAACAAACATAATATCATAGTAAAACAGTTTTCGTAGTATAAGTTGTTTTTTTAAACGAAAAATTATTATTTAAGCTTAAAGATTATCCAGTACATTAATTTTTAAGGCGTCATAATATTATGTTCACTTCTGTGTTCAAATAAATGGACAAATTTAAATCACATCCATCAACATTTTTATATTTATATATATAAGACTTTGACCCATGAAAATTATACTTTTAGATTTTTTTTTAAATACTTGTATCGTATACGATGTAATAATATTAAAGTATATTCAACAGTTAATCGCTTTATTATACATAATTATTATACTACACATAGTATATACGCGCTATGGGAATTGCTAATAAAATTTAATTCAAGTGCAATAAACTAATTAACATGTAAAATGTAAAACGTATTCAAATCAACTTCCCCGTGTTATTATTTTACTCGACGACCGCAATGATGCTCCACCTTGTTATTTCATGCATATGATTGAATAAATGCATAAAAGTGTATATAGTCTTTCGCAATAAACGGATTTGGATTAGATTTTTAAAAATAAAAACATATACTTTTATTATATTAGTTTAAGTGGGTACAACAAACTACTTAACATAAACTCATACAAATGCATTCTTCTAATAATTGTTATTTTTAATAGTTAACATTCACTAAGCCTGCGCATGTGACGTATAATATCTGTTAAAGCACAGGGAATCTGCGTGCATCAGTACCAAAATTTATTCTTAAAAATATAATGTTCTTACATTGAAACTTAATAATAGGTCAATTCTCTCTAATTTATTAACGACATACCTACAAAATTATAGAAAATATTTTATTACGTTCTACATCTGTATTCCGTATAATCTTGTACTTTTGTGGTATGACAATACACATTGTCATAATAAGACGATAATTATTATTACTGTAATACAATATTATATACGATAAGATTATCGATTTTTTTCACATTATTAGGTATATCAATTACTTTGCGAAGATTTAAATGTAATACAAAATAAATTATCAGGATTATTCGCTTCTTTAACGTAAATTATATAATAACCAGTATAATATATTTAGGGTAGGTATAAACTGTTAAATAGGTGGCAGCGTATATGTAAATAAGAAAAAAGAATCGTGCGATAAAATATGAAATGTTTCTCATCTTGCAATACCTATTTATAATATAAAATCGTTTTTTTTTTCGTTTGATCTAAGTGTTGTGTTTCGACGAATTCATCGTCGTTGTCGAATTACGCAGTGGCCAGCTGCAGAAATATAGATATGACGTAATAACGTTATTATTTTTACACATAATTTAGTGGTTTAAACTTTAGAAATTGGCGTATAACATATTACATTTGGACATAGATATTATTGTAATAACTAATAGTAATACATTATTCAGCCATTATCTGATATTTTTATGGTACCGAAAATAAGTCTCGTCCGGCGGAAGCGGTCTACTGCGGGACAAATCGGTAGAGAAAAAATAAATCGGAACACGTTTTACGGACGTTTAAAATGATATACGAAACAACCACTGCACCAATAAGGCAAGGCGACATCACTATGTTGTATTTTATTAAACTGCACTTACAACGACAATACTCGGGGTGATGTACGATAAATATATATTGTCGTGTACGTCGGTAGGCGGGGTTTGCGGTGAAATAATGATATGATTTAATAGGAAGAAACGAATTTAATACGATGTGTACGAGAAAGAACACAATGAGTGGGAAATCGAGAAAAAACACGTGAATTTTTTTTCCTATAAGTACTATACACCTCATAGCAGTGTCTCTCTCTGTGGATAGGCAGTGTGTATTACCTTATTATGTATATACAATATATATTATTAAAAAGTTAGCCGACGGTGAGGAAGAGGAGGCGCGCGCGCGAAGGACACGGTCAAACGGAGTGGACGCGGAATTATCGCGGACATAATCCAGTAATGTACCTACGGTGATATATAGTTATAATATATAATATATATATATATTATTATGTACACGAAATAATAAAATGTAATATAATATAATATGATACAATGTAGGTACCTATACCTATATTATAATAATAGTGCGGACCGTTACGAATCGTGTCCATTCATCCATCAAAGTCGTCTGTGGCAAGGGGGGGGGAGGATAAAAAAAAGGAAACGAAAATAAAAGCGACTATTGGTCTTCGGCCGCGGATCGCGTGCGATCGCTGTGGGAAATACTATATAGGTACACCGAGATACTGATAATACGACACGCTTATATATATCTATGTAATATCGTGTACAGAGCGATTTTTCATCCTAATTCATAGCTGCTTATCGATCCATAATAATGTGATACAAAATTATTTAATTAGATTTTATGTATTTATATAAATATATATATA